GATGAATTTGGTCAGATAGGTGCTCCAGATGTCAGACACATTGGGCCACTTGAACAGCGAGATGCCACGCTCATACGCCTTGAAGCTCTCCTCGAAGTACTTGTGCTCCTCCAGGAACATGGCGTAGTTGATGACGATCTGGGGGGTAGCGATGCGCAGGTCCAGAATATGGTCATACACAGCCTTGGTAGACTGAAAGGTGCCAAGGCTTTCCTCCAAGTTGGCAAGCATGGACCACACCTTTAATGATTTGTACGCATGGTTCTGCACAGGCTCCAAGCCGTCAAAATACTCTGCCCGGCGGGTGGGCAGTGCTGTTGCCTTCCTCAGCAGCCGCAAGGCCTGGTCGTAATTCTCATGCCGGAGCTCCAGCTCACCACACTCGCACCACACACTTGCCAGGTCATCCACTTGCTTGAAGCTCACCTTGGTGGCCTTCTCCAGGATGATGCGGGCATCATCCAGCTGCCCGTTGTCCTCATAAAACTTGGCAAATGCAACCCACAGCGTATGGGGTTTGCCCGTAGCCTTGAAGGGGTCCACTGTCTGCACAGCCTCCGTGTACGTGTTGATGATCTGTGGAGGAGGGGCAGGGGTCAGGCTGGACAACTGGGGCCATGGCAGGCGAGGATGGGGTGGGGCTTTGAGGGGGCAGGGCCACACGCACCTCCCGGGGGCGGCCCTGGTGCAGGGCCACACGCTTGTGCCACTCATGGACACGGTGTGGGTTCTGGCGCAGCAAGACGCTGTTGAGGAGCAGGGGCCGCCGACTGATCAGCTGCTCAAAGCGGGCCAGGCGCAGTTCCAAGTCCACGTCATCTGGGACCCATGGGGAGGGCCAGGGGAGTGGGGTTGAGGGCCTCAGCACACACTCACTTCCATCTCCCAGCCTTCTCCCTCCAGCCCGTGGCCCAGTGCTCTGACCTTCCAGAGTCGTCCCACTGTCCACTCTGCACTCCTTCCCTGAGCTGCCTCAAGGCCATCCCGACCCCAGACTCACTCCTAGCCCCTGTCATTCCCCCTAGCCCTCCTTCCCTGCTGCCCTCTGCCATCCTCCAGCCCTCCCTCTCCACCCAGCCTATGTCCAGCCCAAGCTTGAGATGTATTCTCAGTTGGGGCTACTCCCCCAAACCCCCCTGCACTGCCCACCCTTCCTCCCTCCCTGCTGGCCCGACTGACCCCAAGACACACCTCTCTACTGCCCCAGCCCCTTGGATCTCCCCCAATACCTGCAGGCTATCCCAGTCCACTCTCCCTACCAGCCCAGGACTGCCTCAGCAGCTCACCCTCTTCTTCCCGCCCCAGCTCCGAGGTGGTCTCCATCTTCGCTGCAATCATGCTCTCCTCGAACTGGGCATAGCTGTCAAACACCTGGGTGAAGTCCCGCACGGTCATCACGGTCCGGATGGCCTCCTCATACACGTCCGGAGCCTTCTCAAAATGGCCACTGCGGATGTAGTAGTCAGCCAGTGAACACCAGAGCTTGCCCAGCTGGTCTGTGAAGCGGGTAAGGCCCCCTCGGATGATGGTGTCCACGTTGAGCGACTGCACCTTGTCCGGGTTCTGGGAGATGAGGTCACAGAGCTCACGCCACAGCTGGTAGTTGGACTTGCCAGCTTGGAGATGAACTGCTCATCATTCACCACGGTGGCCAGGCACTGTGCAGCCTCGTCCAGCCAGTCACTTGACTTGAGGTACTCTATGTATTCCTCTGCGCTCTCAGGGCTCAGCTTGAGGAAGCGCCGGTAGCCCCGCATGGCTGTCTCAGGTAGTGGGTGTGAGCGCAGGAAGCGCAAGTACAAAGGCCAAATACGAGAGTGCTGTGTGATAGGCAGCGCCTGGAGGGCACGGTTGAAAGTGCAGCGTGTGTGAGTGATATGGCCCTGGTCCACCAAGAACTGACAATAATCTAGCCATAGACGTGGCATCTTGTGCATGAAAACAAAGGCCCTCTCGTGGCAGTTGTTGACATCTTCATAGTCAGGATCAGTCACACAGCGATGCTTCACCTGTGCCCT